CACAAGCATGGGACATTTATAATGAGTGAATCCTAGGAATGGTGTCCATCACTTCCTCTCATGGTCCATAGGTCAGAACTCAATCATATTGCACCACTTATCTGTAAGGAACACTAGGGAGTGAAACCAAGTTATAGGGACTGATTAAGGGGATAAATTTTGACTGAGAGCCAGTGACTTACGCCATAACTCTAGCTACTCAGGGGGCTGAGATCTGAGGATTGCAATCAATGCCAGTGAAGGCAGGAAAGTCCATGAGAGTCTTACCTCCAATTAATCACCACAACAGTACAAGTGGAGTGGGGGCTCAAATGGTAGAGTGCTAACCTTGAGTAAAAAGTTAAGAGACAGCACCCAGGACCCAGTACTGTCAAACAGACACACACGCGCACACACACACACACACACACACACACACACACACACACACACACACACACACACCATACAAATATAAATTTTGATGAATATTTTCTATCCTTGTATAGCTGAGTTATGTTTAGGAGAGCTAATCCTGAAGAGATCTTTTAGATGAAGCCAGAAAATTACCCCTAAAACAATCACTAAGAATCCGTGAAGATCAAAATTGGAAATGTAAATCTTCAAAGCCAATCTAACTAATTATTATATGGAGAACAAAAGGGGTCCTCTATTCATGTTTGTGTTAGAGTGATACAGTGTTAAGAGTATCTTCTGCCCCAATAGGTAACAGAGTCACAGTGCTGATAAAAAGACATTCTAAGGAAAAGGTGGTGCATGATACTGAAGTTTAGATTCTCAATCTAGTGGTACTTCCCACCAAGGTTTTTTCTTCTGTTTATCTTCAGAGGCTTCTCCTTCTCCCCCCTCCTCCTCCTATTATTATTATTTCATATGAACACACTTAGAGAGATTACAATTCAGTCAGCCAATAGATGGAAATTATATACCAGGCACTGTGTTGACAGTAGAAAAGTACCAGTTAGTTTAGTCACTTTGAAATTTCTCTTTGTACAATTGAGTACCCAGCACTCAGGAATAAGCCATATTTGCCATATTCCTGTACTTATATTCCTATGGGAGTCCTGTGGCCTTTTCACTATGCTTTACTCTTTTTTTGGTCTGTTGTGAGGCTTGAGCTCTGGGCCTGAGCACTGTCTCTGAACTCTTTTGCTCAAGGCTAAAACTTTACTGCTTTGAGTCAAAAGCACCACTTCTGGTTTTTGAGTGGGCTGTTGTGGAACCATGGAAATGCAATCCTCAGATCTCAGCCTCCTGAGTAGCTAGGATTACAAGCACGACCAGTACTGGCTTTGCTTTACTTTTGTGGTGTGAGTGGGTCCATATAGCTTTAGCTCTCTGTTGAATTGGCTATGTGCTTGGCATCAGCAGCTAAGAAGCAGGGGCTGCTAATCAACTTGATTTAGATTCCCTCCCCTCCCTCCCTCCCTCCCTCCCTCCCTCCCTCCCTCCCTCCCTCCTTCCCTCCCTCCCTCCCTCCCTTCCTTCCTTCCTTCCTTCCTTCCTTCCTTCCTTCCTTCCTTCCTTCCTTCCTTCCCCCTTCTCTTCCCTTCCCTATTCCTTCCTTATCCCTTTCCTTCCCTTCCCTTTATTCACTGCTATGGGCTGCATTCAGTTAAGGATATATAGAAATTTCATCCAATGTCCTGGTAACTTTCTTCTCTTTATGACTCCACAAAGCCCAGAAGGTGGAGTATCTTCCAGGCTGTGTGGCTTTATTAGTATCCTTGTCAATTGTGGGTGAGAGAAGTAATCCTAGATAAATGGAGAGGCTGATTGTCTCAACTGCTGAAGTCTTATGTTTCTCACAGTTCTAGGCTTTGCTTTACTTTTAGCTCTTCTTTGCCCAATTCAGGGTAAGCCATGGTCTACCTAAGTAATTATTCACCATGATGTTCACATCTTTATTCAATTCCTATTTGTGTGTGTGTGTGTGTGTGTGTTGACACTTTTCCCCATTGGATATCACATTGGTTCTTCCCAAGTTCTTTGTGCTTCCTTTGATGTCCTTGTTCTAAGTACTTGATTCCTTGGTCTAAAGTAGGAGAAAATGAGCAAAGTTAAGAGGAAGGAAGAATATGGTAGCCGATTTTAAGGAGCTGGTACAACATAAATCAGATCTCAATGAGATGTTTGATTGTAAATGTGGTCAGACAGGTAGAAATCCCCCAGATTACATGGGAAAGGACAATGAGGTTGAATCAACGTTTGGCAGAATGGAGCAGCCATTAAAATAAAGACTAAGAAATAATTTTCGTGTTTTAAGGTTGACCTAAGTGACAAGAGAAATTAAGGTGATTATTTGGGTTAAAGTAAAAGCAGTTCAAAGCCAGCCCAGGCAGAAAAGTCCATGAGATTCTTATCTCCAATAAACTACTCAGAGAAAGCCAGAAGTGTTACTATGGCTCAAGTGGTAGAGTGCTAGCCTTGAGAAAAAGAATCTCAGGACCAGAGTTTAAGCCCCAGAATCAGCCAGGTGTTGGGGGATAGAATGGGGAGAGGGAGAATGGTAAAAGTCAGAGGACATTTCTAGATCATCAATCTTTTAGAGCTAAAAAGAGATATCAGAAATGCAGGCCACAATCAGCAGAGCTATTCGGTCTCCATGGAAGGTTGTTCAGCACAACCCTTGAATCAAATGCAAGTGTGTGTGTGTGTGTGTGTGTGTGTGTGTGTGTGTGTGTGTGTAAATGTATAAATGTAACACTTCTTCTTTCTGAATCACAAAGGATTTCTGATCAATAGATAGGAAAGAGCTCCTGGACTCTACCCACGTATCTTGGGTACAGCCGAAGTCCTAGGGAAATAGACCCATGATGGGTGAAGAACTTAATGTAAACCCAGTATGAAATGGGATGTTGTGGAAGAATAATGTTTCATATTCTATACTGAAGTCTGGTGTCAAACTTTAAACATTCACAAAGAAATTAGGTCCCAAACTGTAGAGTCTGAGGGAGTGTTTATCTTCCAAGTCAGTAACATGATATGGAAAAATGAAGTGATAGGTTCATATTTCACAAATCTTATATTTTTCAAAATAGTGTTCATGAATACAAGCTTGCAAAAGTATTTTGTTTTGATTTTATTCTCAACCTTTTCTTAAATCAGTTTTTTATTGTGAAAATACTGTACAGAGGGGTTACAATCACAAGAACAAGGTAATGAATACATTTTTAATCAAGCATTGTTACCTCCTCCTTTGTTTTTCCCCTACCATCCCTTCCCTCCCATCTCCACAACTACATCCCCCCTCCACTGTCTAAGTTGTAAAGTTCCTTTTTTGACATAAGGTCTTGTACATCTCATTGTTTCAATGGGTCAACCTGTATCCCTATTTAAACAAATTTTTTCTTTCCACTCCATAAATTATACGAACATCCAATACAGTGAAAACAGGGGTTATACCATGGGGGAGAGACATACAAAGCAACAAAAAAAATCACATGGTACCTTATAAATATTTTAGAAACAATAGCAAGAAAAAAAAAACACTTGAGTCCTTATCTTGGCGTTCATTTCACTTACCATCATCTTATCTGACTTTTTCTGCTTGTCTCAGATATATACTAGTAATTGCTAAGATATATGGAATCAACCCAGATGCCCCTGGATCAAGAAAATGTGGTATATATACACAATGGAATTCTATGCCTCCATCAGAAAGAATGACATTTCCCCATTTGTTAGGAAATGGAAAGACTTGGAAAAAATTATATTAAGTGAAGTAAGCCAGGCCCAAAGAAACATAGGTCCCATGGTTTCCCTTATTTTCAATAACTAGTATATGTCTGAGTCAAGCAGAAAAGGTCAACTTTTTATATTGTAATTTTTTATTGTTATTTTAGAGTTGATATACAGAGGGGTTGCAGTTATATGAACCAGGTAATGAGTAATGTATATAATTCTTTTTGAACCATATCTCCCCTTACCTTGCTCTTTCCCAGTTTTTTCTCTCCCATCCCCACCCACGAGATGTACAGTTCATTTTCTACAGAGTGTCTAGTGAGTACCACTGTTGTATTTGTTTACCCTTTGTCCTGCCTTATTGCCCTCCCAAATACAAGCAAACTAACAAAAGGAAGAGAAAACAACAGCAACAATGGCAACTAAAAATGTCTCTTGTTTCCTTTTCTTGGAGTTCATTCATAAAATATTATTTTATATGACCATATGCATATAGCTATTGAGTAACAAATGCTGGTGGTGATGTGGCAAAAGGGGAATTCTATTACACTTTTTGTGGGAATGTAAACTTTTTTAAAACTCTGGAAAGCAGTATGGAAGTTCCTCAAAAGACTAAACATGGGGCTTCCATATGACCCAGCAATCCCACTCCTGGGCATTTATCCAATGGACCACAAAAACCAATCCACACTAAAGCCACCAACATAACCATATTCATTGCAGCATTGTTTACCATAGCCAAGACAAGGGAATCAACCCAAATGTCCCTCAGTGGATCTAGAAAATGATATATATAATGGAATTCTATTCATCTATCAGAAAGAATGATATTGTACCATTGTAATGAAATAGAAAGACTTAGAAAAAAATATATTAAGCAAAGTAAGCCAGAGCCAAAGAAACAGAGACTGCATGGTTTCTTTCGTTTGTGGTAACTTGAATGTGCTTATAAATCTACAAATAAACACATTGAAGGATTTTAAAAATACACATGCATATGAGCACATGTGCACATGCACATACACACACACATACTGGGACATGATAAATTATATAGAATTCTATACTGTAAAAATTATATAGGACTCTATACTACTTTCACATACTATTCACATAATGAGGCCAAAGGAGGATATGCATAGGAGTGGTTGACAAAGGCTCAAAAACTATGTGCATATGACCAACCTAACTTTTTATTCTCCTTCGGACATTTTTAGTCATCAACCCAATAAAGTCTAGGCCAGTATCCAAGGCACAGTAAAGAATGGTATTTCATTTTTTATGAAGGCATTAATACCTATTTTTATTCTTGATAGCAAAACTGCTGAATTCTTGAGCAAGCTAGACACAGAACTGCCAAACAGAAGGACCTGTCAAACTACTTTCCATGACCTGCAATCTGCAACATGGGTAAGTACAACATCATACAAACAACCATCTGGCAACTTTCAAAGAGCTGTTTTGAGACTGGAGATTAAAGGCACAAAATGACTGGCATAGCACCAAATGCTAAAACTATAGGTTGATGGAATGAACTAAAATTTAGATCTCATCTCCTTCCTGAGCTATATTTAGATATGTGTTAAGTGATGATTGTATTTGTTAGCTACATTATGAGCATCTGAATGTCCTTGATCTCACCCAGTTACCCATTCATCCCTCCATCAGAGTTTTTATGTGTACATAAAAGTGTACAATGTGTCTTCTTCCCTGAAGGACTATAGTAGAGTGATGGAGAAAAACAATAGGAGCAAAGTGCAGAGGGTAAAGCATCTTGTAATTAGAAAACACCATTGCTGTATCTGGAAGAAACATCTAAACCAAACTTTGTGTCTGTGTTTCTATGTGTATGTATGCATATGTGTATATGCTTCCTATTAAAGATGGCACCTGGGCTAAAGCTTAAAAGATGAGCACTAGTGGCTCACACCTGTAATCCTTGCTACTGAGGAGGTTAAGATCTGAGGATCATGGTTCAAAGCTAGCCCAGGAAGAAAAGTCTGTGAGATGCTTATCTTCAATAAACTACAAAAGAAAAAAAAGCTGGAAGTAGTAGAGCATTAGCCTTGAGCAAAAGAAGCTCAAGGATAGAGCCTAGGCTCTGAGTTCAAGTCCCATGACTTGGATGCATGTATGTGTGTGTATGCAAAGATACATGCACACGCGTGCATGCGTACACACACACACACACACACACACACACACACACACACCACAAAGATGAGTTAGTAGAGTCATTCCACATGTCAGAATTCACTGAGACACAGAAGATATAAAAGCAAGCAAAACAGCAAGGCCTATGTTGGGAAAAAAAGGCTTAAGTAGTAGTTGCAGTAGGTAAAAGTGAACTAGAAGTCTGGGGAAGTAAGTAGGAGCCATAAGCAGCTTTCCGCTGTTCACTGATGGTGGGAGGCAGTTTAGTGTTCAGGTTGCCAGGGTACTATGGAATGTCTCTCATCCCTAGGCTCTGGGAACAAAAATGTTAGTGGTATCACTTAGACATAGAGACATCTAGAAGCACCCCATATTGGAATTAGATGGAATACCTCGTAGAAACAACTGAAGGCATTTCTGTGCCACATTGAGGAACTCACGTTATTTGTTCTGTAAGGACTGAAGGTACTGAAATGTCATAAGAAAGGAAGGCTCAGAGTCAAGTTTGTATTTTCACCAAATCACACTGTTAACCATTTCAAGGATGAATCTAAAGAAATAGAGGCTTTTAAGTCTTCTTCCCTGCTCAAGGTAAAGTGTGAAAACACCATCAAAGATGGCAGGTGAGAAGATGGAGATGAAGATCTAGGTAGGAAATTGCTTATAAAGAGAAATCAGGCTGGGAAGGTGGCTTAGTGGTAGAGTGCTTGCCTAGCATGCAGGAAGCCCTGGGCTCGATTCCTCAGTATCACATAAACAGAAAAAGCCAGAAGTGTTGCACTGGAGAGTGCTAGCCTTGAGCAAAAGAAGCTCAGGGACAGTGCCCAAGCCCCGAATTCAAGCCCCAGGACTAGCAAAAAAAAGAAAAAAAAAGAGAAATTAGCAGGGCTTGGTTAATGACAGGCTAACTGCAGACAACAAACTAATGTAATTAAGGATTACTTTGGGTAAGGCTTGTGGATGAAAGAAAAGTTAGGCTTACGTCCTAAAACGTCCAGAGCTTTTTCAGGGTTCAGACAGGTAAAAGCTAAGTTGTTTAGAGAAACTTGATCTTCATTCCTCCCCAGTGCCTTTCTCAATAGGGACCAGGTTTTAAAATGTCAAGGAAACATTATGATACTCAGAAAAGGTCATCATACTCCTACCCACAAGCTTTAGGTTTGTCTGTTTTCTCTGCTTATAAAATCATGTTTCAGAGTCTAAATTTTTCAATTTATACCCCACAAATCCACCATCTCTCCTTACTTCAGGGCTCTGGGAGAAAGAATTGGGAAGCTTTCAATAGGGAAGTGAAATCATGTGCAAATGCCAATTCTAAACATCTGGGCGATATCCTTGTGTCTGGTTAAGGATAGGGAAGAGCCAGAAATTGAGCAGCTTACTGACTGGGTTTTTGCCTGCCAGGATTTCTTCCTTTCTCTTTGAGGGCTTCTGCAACCTATGATTTGAAACACCTGGCTGAATTGTGTATGCTTGCTCTATTGATTTTTGCTCATTTCTTCAATTTAGCAAGATCATCCTGAATTTTAATATTGTCCTCCAAAGCATTAGCAGTCTCTCCAGAGCTGCATAGTTGTGGATTGATGAGTGCATTTGTCACAAGATTCTCAGAGCTATCAATAGAAAATATGGAGCATGATTGGCTCCGGAATGGTTCCTTATGAACCACATGCAACAGCTTCTCTCATCTTGACACCAAATTATTAATAAGTTGCTGGCATTCAATCCATTTAGTTGACTTTTTACCTATATTATGCTCTTCTCATTCTATCTAATCCATATGCATGGAATTCTTCTGAGAATGCTTTGTAAAGCCATTCCTGATGCTGTAGGGGAAAAAAATCGAATATGTACATTGCACTTTTGTGAAGAACATGTCTTCTCTGCTCAAAGAGAGCACTTGGCTTTTACCTTAGTGGATAGCCAGTGTATAGAATTTTTAAAATGTGTGATACCTATTGATCTGGGGTTTAAGAAATTGAGAGGTTTTCAGTTATTTTTCTCCCCCCCCCCCCACAATTTTAATTATACTATCTAAAGCAGCTTTTCTGGGAACCAATTTTTTTCTTATGTACTTCTCATTTGAATGTGGACCTACCATCAGAAGATCCTTGTCTTCTATAATTTTGTCAAAAAGGGCTAAAATAAAATTCCTTTAAAATGTTACCGGAAAACTTCAGGTTTAGGAATCCAAACAGTATATTTATAGTTAACTTAAGTAGCTCTCTCTCTCCTGTAAGAATGTGGTGTTTTGGTGGAGCCCAAAGTACTACCCTGCTCTGCCTTAGCATTATGGATTTCCAGGTATATATTAAAAGCTTTCAGCCCTTGGTTTCTTTCCCCTTCTTTTGCTGAGAGTAACAGTATTTAAATATAGTTGCTGCTCAGAGTCAACTCTGGCTCTGTGTGTGTGTGTGTGTGTGTGTGTGTGTGTGTGTGTGTGTGTGTGTGTGTGTGTGTGTGTGTGTGTGTGTGTGTGGTCATGGGGCTTTGAACCCAGGGCCAGGATGCTATCCCTGAGCTTTTTCACTCAAAGCTGGAGTCTACCACTTTAAGCCACAGCACTACTTCCAGTTTCGATTGGAGTCTCATGGAGTTTCCTTCCCCTGGCTGGCTTTGAACCACAGTTTTCAGATCTCAGCCTCCAGAGTATCTAGGATTACAGGCATGAGCCACCAGCACCCAGCTTGGCTTTCCTTATCTCAAGACTAAGTTAAACTACCCTGGATTAAGCACAATACCCCTTCTAACTTTCCCTCTGCCTGTCTACTCTTTTTCCTCTATTCTTTTCCTCCCCTCTTCTTTCTCCTCTTGATTCATTCTCTTTAGCCTTTCCTTGTCCTCCATAGTGTGGAGGACTAGCCTTGAGTGTAGATCTTTTGGCTGACAGCATCAACATCACCTGAGAGCTTATGGGAATGCAGACAGGTGTCAGGGCCTACTGAAGATGCTCATTGAAACACCGTCGGTGGGTGACTTAGGTATACAGGAATGCTACCTCCCTATCTATAGTTCATGCCATGCTGGACCTATACTCACAATGGCTCTGCATACATAATGAGATCATTTTTCATTTGTGCCTTATCACATATTTTTAAAATAATCTTTAAGTTGTACAAGGCATTTCAGTTTGGGGGTATGATGAATCTTGATCAATGTCACCCTTTTTACTATTCTTCCTCATCTCTGATATTCATTTTTTAAAATGTCAAATGATAGGAAAATGTCTGAGTCACATGTACCCCTTCCAATCCGACCTTACCATGTTAAATTCCTATAACACTGCTGTAAGAAACTGCCAAAAATTTAGTAACTTCATACAAAGCAAGATTATTCTCTTCCATTTCTGGGTCTAGAAATTCAAAACTAGTCTTAAGGTGACAGGTCCATGTGTCTGCAGGCTAATTCCTTCTAGAAAGTGTCGGGACAGGTAACATCTATTCTTGGCCTCTCTCAGCCCCTCTGCCACTGGAATTCCTTAGCTCTTGTCCACATCTCACCAGTCTCTGCTTTGCCTTCACATCTCCTTCTTTCCCCTCTGACCTCCTTGTCTTCCGCTAAGAAGGACCCTCATGTGTATATTGGGCCTACCTGAAAAGTCCAGGCCCATCTTCCCATCTCAATATTTTCATTTTCTGCTAAATCCCTTTGGCTACATAAAGTACTGTTAACAGACTGCCAGGTTTAGGATGGGGGCATTTACTTGAGATGACTATTCAGAACACCACTTGTCTTTGTTGTCTGCTATTTGACTCTTAGTACCATTAACACACACACACACACACACACACACATTTCTATCCCTTGTTCACTTCTTTTTTGCTATTTTTTAAAATTTTATTTTATTGTAAAGATGCTGTACAGAGGGGTTACAGTTACATGAGTAAGGCAATGAGTACATATCTTGTCGAGCATCCCTTGTTCATTTCTAAACATTGTTAACTCATTGCTTCTTATTCTCTTAGTGTAATGACTCAGTACTTCAAGCTTTCCTTTATTCCAATTATATAAACATGTTCCCACAGCCTAGCCAGTTAACATATTCTAGTTCCATTTTCCTTCTTCTTTTATAACGTTTATAACATTTTACTTTTGCATTTTCTCAGTCGAATGTCCAAAGGAAACTGTCTTCTGTTTTTGTGACTGGTCTTGAAACTGCCTCTGGATGCAAAGCTGCATACACTCTTCCATTTTGTGCCTGTGAGATAGCTTGTCCATTCTGACCACCCCGTCCCTTCCTGAATCCCTCTCTTCACCTGCTCAAAACCACACTGGCTGTGCTTCAGTTCTGCAACCCGGCCATCATCTTGGGACTCACCGTTATCACAGGGGTTCGTGGCCTTCTCTGTTTTGTGGTCTAACCTGAGGAGCTTTAGAAGTGGCTGATACCTAGGTCATACCCCCAGAGATCCTGCTGTACTATGGCCTGGGGCTTCAGTGCTTTTAAAGCTCCCAAGGTAGTTCTAAAGTGCAGCCAAGGTTGAGAATGACTTCTTTGAAGTCAGTTTGGGAATTGCTCTTATAACTTCCTTATCTATTGTTTATTTGGTTTCCTTGTATATTTTTTATTTCTTTTGGTGGAGCATATTATTTAGTTGTTCCTCAAGTAACAACTCACTAGGCTGAAACTATCTTTATTCAGCCTTCATATTTTGCTTGGAATTTAACTAGTCACTTCCAAACTGGAAATAATTTTCCTTGATAATTTTGAGTGTATTATGCTCCTACTTTTGAGCATCATCTCCTGAGAGATCCAAAGCAATTTGAATTTCAGTTCTTATATAATGGCTTTTTCAGACTTCCCTTGGAAATATTTTAATATCTTTTCCTTTTCTGAGACTATGTACAGATGTGGCTTAGTGCAAGGATCTTTTTTTAAAAAATTCATTTCTCAATATGGAAACTCATCTCTAGTTCTAAATGATTTTCTTGTGTTATTTCTTTGATTTATTTCTCTTCATTTTCTCTTTATGGAATTCCTATTACTCAGATTCCAAGCCACCTGGATTTATCTTCTAACTTTATTTCTTTTAAATATTTTTCCTTTCTAGTCAGACATATATTGCTAACTTCTAATCATTTACTGATTTGGTTGTTTTCACAGAGAAAGGATTGAATTATTTTTCCCCAAGGGCTTCTTTTCTTTTCCTTTTTTTTTCTTTTTTCTTTTTCTGTTACTTAAAGGAAACAGAACAGGAAACAAAATAAAATTTCCCAGAGGGCATTGGTGTTACAAGATTTTATTCCATTCTTTCCTGCTCAGCCTGGAATTTTACAACTACCATCTGCTGTGTCTGGTGTATCTGGGCTTGTTTTCCCAGAAAACAGTTCTGATATCCTACTGGGGCTCTGAGAATTAGTACTTGAGTTCTCAGGACAAGAGCAAGTGTATGAAGATAAACAGTTTTTACTGATATTTCCCAATAATTCCTTTCTTTCATTTTCGTATCATTCCCCCTGGTTTCCCCAGGAACTGATGCATCCATTTCTTGGGCCCTATGATGCTCTATGGAAAAAAAAAAAGGCTTCCCCTGTGTGTCCTCTGTCCCTTTCCAGCAAGTCTCCAAGTTCATCCTTTCCCTAAGTCACTAACGATTTCATCTTCGTGGATTTTTTTTTTTCATCAAGAGGTATCTGTAATGTATTCAGATACCTCTCGGCACTGTGGCTTGAATTCAGGATCTTTTGCTCTTGCTTAGCTTTTTGGCTTATGGCTGGTCCTCTACCAATCAGGCCTCATCTCCATTTCTCCATTTTCTGCATTTTTAGAGATGAGAGTCTTAAGGATTTTCCCTTTCAGGTTGGCTCCCAATGACAATTCTCAGATCTCAGCCTTTTGAGTAGTTAGGATTATAGGTGTGAACCACCTGAACCTGACTATTTCTTGGTTTTTAAAGACAAGAGTTTATGTTTGTTATATCCTCTCAGTAGGGGTAAATTCTGAGAATAGAGAAGAAAGATCTGTTTTTGGAAGTTAGATTTATTGCATATCATGGGTCAAATTTTGGTCTCCCCTTCAAATTTATAGGTTGAATCTCAACTTGCAGTATCTTAGAATGTAACCCTGTATGAAGACAGTATTTTTACAGAGGCAATCAAATGAAAATGAAGCTCATATTTAATATCAGAAGGGAAACTGGAACATAGAGATATGTAAAAGGAAGGTGACAGGAAGACACAGGAGATGATGATTGTCTTTAAGCCAAGAGCACGGCCTAGAATAGAGATCCTTCTCTCTCAGTGTTCAGAATCAGCCGACCCTGAAGATATTTGGATTTTGCCTGTTCCTAAGATAAGAAATTTCTGTCTGGCAAGCTACAAGAATGTGGTTCCTGTTGTTCTTATCTTAAAAACTTACAATGCTATTTGTTGCTTCTTTATAGGATGTCCTGCTAGTGATTTCTTTCACTATTTGACACACAACTCTGTGTCACCCACTCAGAGAAGGTGTCCTAGACTCTGTTTAATGAAGAGTCCTTTTTGGTGGCTTCCGTCACGACAGTTATCACATTATGGCACTAGAATCATTAGTCATCTTGTCTGACTTCCATATGAGGTGACAATGACCCAAGGTCTGGGCACAGTGCTCACTCCCATTGCATTTAAGTATGATTTATTGTTATGACTGAATACATCATAAGCATACTTTGAGAGAGAACTAGATAAAAATGTGCTTTAGTTGAAGAACAAAGTCCTATCATCAATATTATATATATTATATTCATATATATTCTCATATATATTATATTCAATAAACATTTAATGCTGGGAAAAGTATGGGACTATGGTGAATTTAATTATGTAGTGTATTAGGAACTACAGAAAATAGAGATAACAAATATTTACCCTCCTATTAATTTTTTTTAAACAGAAACTTCCAGTCCTGTCTAGGGATCCCAACTGGGTATGTATGCATTAAAATTGCAAGTAACTTTCAAACTCTTCCTAGCTAAAGTATGTAACTTCCTAGTTTCTGAAGCCTTTTATATGGTACTTTATCTCTTTCTGTCTCTGTCTCTCTGTCTCTGTCTATCTCTGTCTGTCTTTGTCTGTCTCTGTCTGTCTGTCTCTCTATGTATAGCTAATAACCATTTTATTTCCCAGTCACAAAGTAGGACCCATATTCTGATAAAAGAACAAAGCAGTTAAGCATAAAAGGAAAGTATTGAAATAGAATTTAGGTTTCTTGCTCAAATCATAGCATTTGCTTTATCTGCACATTTTACTCTACCTCTTAACTTCTTAAATAGAAACCATCTATTCTCCTTCCCTTCTTTCTTTTTTATCCATGTTACCTGGGTCTCATGTGGAATATCTGTGAAAAAGATTATTCTCTCCTGTAAAAAGTAGGGATCATCAGAAGGCTAGACCTCATCTGTGATTTACTGTAGTCCTCTTGGGTTAGGGGATAAGAGAAAATCAAACTGTAGAGGTTTGCCCATTTGGTGTAGCAGGCTTTAGATATATGAGGGCTTTCTGTATACATCGCTTTCTAATATTCTCATTGGTACTGTTGTAAATAATATAATTCCAAGAGTATCCCTCCCCCTACAAAGTGGGGTCTTGCTGTTTGATGGCATATGGATTTTCATCATGACAGGAATGGAGCAATGAGCTAAGAAGTGCTTGAGAAAAATTATACTATGGGAAAAGGGGGAGCCAGCCTACATAAGCTTTATGGATTATTAGTCCAGAGAACGAGGCCTGAAATATGGAACCTGCTGCTGCAATGCTGCTGGGAGTTTTATGAGATCAGTGGAATTTCCTAAGCATTAGATGCTCAGGCTGGCCTCTTTGCCTTACAGAGTCAATGTGAGGTCGAAAGACAAATGAACCGAATACAGATGCTTCTCAGCTCAGAATGGAGTTCCCTCCCAATAAAGCCATCATAAGTTGAAAATATCGCAGGTCGAAAATCCATTCCATACATCTCACCCACCCAGCATCTTAGCTCAGCAACACAGCACACTGTGGATGTTCATTGTTTATCCTCATAATTGCAGAGCTGATGGAAGCTGCAGCTTCTTGTTGTGCTTCTCAGCGTCTAGAGATCATATTTTACTGCATATCTCTAGCCAGGGAAAAGATCAAAATTCAAAACACAATTCCTACTGAACGTGTGTCACTTTGGCACTGTGATAAAGTTGAGAAATCATAAAGTGAAGCCATCCCGGGTCAGGACCAATCTGTACTTGAAATCTAATACATTCAGAACACTGGGTTGGCAGTCACTCTGATGGGGTGGATTGGGAAGACTGAAAGACTGGCTGGGGCTGTCTCTTCCAAGGCTCTGTGCACCTGGACAGGCTTTGTTTCCTCTCTCAGTGTGCTTCAGGTACAGATTAGGAATGCAAAGACTTTAAAATAGACACCCATCTTTGGAATTGCATGGTATCAATCACCAATTGGCAAGTATAATAGAATGCCACTGATGAAGTGTGGATATGTCAGTGCTTTTAAAGACATGGCTGCTATTGCTTATCTTTAATAGGGACTGATCAGCCAGTTGAAATATTCTTGAAAATATCTTTAGCTTTCCACCAGAGGGAATAAATTATGTTGGTTATCTCTGAGGGAAAATTTTTAAAGCTTAATTAAACAAACATTTAAATCATCCTTTACAATGTGCTGGATGGTTGTGCTTACACTAGCCTTCTTTTTATATATCCCAAGGGATGTCTTCAGACATGCATAAATCACTCAGTAAGCAAGTGTGGATAGGGAGCTTAGTGTATGCTCGAAACAGGTTGAATTATTAACTCCAGCCCCATGGTAGACAGAGTTGTTTACTGTGCTAAAACTTTTCCATGGACTTTTCCACTGTCATTTTATAGGCCAGGATTTTCAAAGGGAGGAAGACACAAGAACTGAAGGCACAGTTAATGCAATACTTAGATATATAAAAGCATCTTTTAAAAAAATACCCACTGCCACTGGAAATAAAAGCTGCGTGCTGGGTGTGTTTTGAATGTATGGTAATAGCTTCTGCTGGTCAAAATTCCATGGTAAGATAGCCCTGCAGTGGGCCATCTGTGTTGGCATCAGCTGGTGCTGGAAGCTCTTAGAGCATATGTGAACTTGTGATCTGCCACACAAAACATGACCAGCATCTCATTTAAACCTAAGGCATGTGAAATTACAGATGGAGGCCAGAGCAATCTCTGGTGGACAAAAAGGCAGGCATACAGACTTACAAAACTAAGACTGAACATATTTATATGCAGGTGTGGTGTATCTTAATATACCATATCTGCATGCCAATGTGTTACATTCCAAGTATTTTGAGCAATGCAACTCAGTGAAATAAACTCACAGCTTCCTGAATTCTTAAATGTGAGTCCTCATGACTGTATGGAGTTGGCTATGACGTGATAGCCATACCTACCTTTGATAAATAGGCTCAAGATCCCCAGCAGGAGGTGAGGGTGAGGAAGACCAATGTTTAACTTCAAGGTGCTGCTTCTTCCCACATCCTTGCAATGAGCAAAATAGTGATCTCCAACTAGCTGGGTAACTTACTGTCCTTATTTTTCTTGATTTTCTCTTTGCCATTTTGGTGGCTGACAAGTACTGTCAGTACTTCTTACAGAAAAAGCTCTCAAGCTTCTTTCTTCCATTACACAATTAATTGGAATTCGAACTACCCTTTGGATTTCCTTGATGTTCGTTTTTGCAGGTCTTTGGAAAATAGAGATGTTTGTTGTAGAAATCATGTTTAGAAAGGTGCATTATAAGTGGAGTATCTTTACCCATTGAAGTTGCCATGGTTTGATGTTTTTGAGTGCTAAGTCCTTCAAACAACGGCTAGCCCTTTCCTGGCTCACAGTTCAGCAAATATACAGTGTCCACGGCTGCCAGTCACTAAGTCGGCTTTGTGCTTTGAGGTCATTAAGTTGTTGAAAGAAATAATTTGAGTTGTGAATTTAGTGGTTAAATTCACAATGCAAGCAATAAAGAAACAGGAAACATTTTTTTCTCCCTTAGTGCTTTTCTCAAATACATTTTATTTTGACATGTCTTGGAAATCCACAATTAAATAAACAATGTTATAGTTAGACTCTAGTAATTAGTAAGTAGAAGCTAAATCTAGTGTATGCTCATACTGTATTTTTAATCATGTTTCTCAGATAAGGTGAAAGTATTTATGTGTTTGTCTGAGCTTCTAATTTAATATCAAGTCCAGAGGTACTTGGTTACCAAGGAGAATGTTGTCATATCAGTCTTAGACTGATATCTTTTAAAAGAACTTCCAGTGAATTTTAAATAATGTGTTATAAAGCTTGATATATATATTTGGGTCATGGAAACCATTAAAAGTAGAACATTCCACAAACAGAATGCTCAGCAGATTAGAAAAACAGACTTAATTTTCAGGCTGAGCTGTAAAACAGTTATAAAATGCTTCCTTCCCTCCTTCTCTTTCTCTATCCCTCCCTCTACTCTTCTTATTCTCCCTCCTTCTTTCCTTCTCTTTGACTTATTTATCTGAGGTTTATCGGGACTTCAGTAAAAGCAAGAGACATAATGGGAAGCTATGCAAAGAAGCACAGTGCTTGTGTTACTGATGCCATTTTTCATTTCTTATTAAACTATGTTTACTTCTTGTTTTTATTTTACAGCTAAGCAAATATTGATGTGTACATATTTTTTGGCTATTGATTGAACATGGTTTTATTGCATATTCTTTTGCATAACTTAGTTTCTTTTATTACTGTAGCTGTGGCTAAAATAAATAGCTTTCATGTTCAGATCGTTGTATCTGTTGGGATTTCCCAACAGTTGAATAACAACACATCATGATTTTTACCCATCTGTTCACTCTACCTTATTTTTGGTTCTCTCCTTCGTTGCTCAATCTGTTGTTGGGAAATGTCCACTGATGGCATTCCCTGGTTGGGAGAATCTGTCATCCCTGAACACTTCAATGATTTACCTTAACACAAGGGGATTGTATAAATGGTAAGATGGTACAGAATAAAACAAATTGATACCATTGCAGCTATTTGTATGTTTGCTAATTCTAGTCATTCGACAGACATGTAGTGAATGCATACGGTGGCATAATTTGTAAGTAGTATAAATTCATAGTAAGTTAAATTGAAGTGACAAGACAATTATTTTGTTCTGGGCATCTATAACTTCCTCATTCTTCTTTTATGGTGGCCTCTGAGGACAATCGTTTTTTTTTTTTTTTTAATTTTATTTTATTTTATTTGAGAACATACTGTACAGAGGGGTTACAATTACATGGGCAGGATAATGCATACATTTCTTACCAAGCATTACAGCCTCCTCCTTTGTTTACCCTTCACCTCCCTTCCCACCCTCCCCCCTCCCCCCCACCCAATCCCCCCTCACACCGACATTGTAAAGCTGGTTTTGATATGACATTTTGTACTTCTCATTGTTGCAACAGGTCCACCTGAATCCTTAAACGACTTGTTTGTCCCCGTCTCCTCCACATGTTATACTGATATCAAATATAGTGAAAGCGGGGGTTACACTGTGGGGGAGGGACATACAAAGCAACAAAGAAATAATCTTATAAATGCGTTAGAAACACATGCATGAAAGAAACAAAAACATTAAAATACATATTTGAGGGTTCGTTTTCCTAACATCACATTCTCTGACTTTTTCCGCTTGACTCATACCTATACTAGATATTGCAAATAAGGGAAACCATGGGACCTATGTTTCTTTGGGTCTGGCTTACTTCACTTAATATAATTTTTTCCAAGCCTTTCCATTTCCTAACAAATGAGGAAATGTCATTCTTTCTGATGGAGGCATAGAATTCCATTGTGTATATATACCACATTTTATTGATCCATTCATCTACTGAGGGGCATCTGGGTTGGTTCCATATCTTAGCTATGGTAAATAATGCTGCAATAAACATAG